GGAAAGTAACGTATAAAATCGTGTTCTTGTGTGAGTTATATATAAAATAAGTTGGCGACCAAAATTTACGAACTGGCGACCAAAATTTTTCTGTTACTTGCCAGCTTGCTCCCAAAAGAAAAAGTTAATTTCGAGCCCTGATAAGGGCACATTACCAAAACTTTTAAGCCTAAAATGTAGGCCTTGACTTAATGTTCAGTGTCCCGAAGATACTGTTTAGTAAGTAATTTTTTATTGTGCAATTCAAAAGAATGTACACCATGGATACCCTGTGAGACAGAGATTCATAATACATGTATGGACCTGGACAACTTTGCCTACCCACTGGACAAAATATATATATTTTTAATTTTGGCAACAAACCTCCAAGATCACTTTGATAGCACGGATCACAAAAACACTTAAATTAATTCTGAAATTATTCTTCCATTCGCTTTCTAGAATCCCTCTCTTGAGTAAGGTTTTCCTCTTAAATCTTCTAGTTGAATCAGTTTCCTTTTCACATGTTCAGTGAGAGTTGAATTGTATCACAGGGCTGTGTTTACATTGCAACTTGTTCAGAGTTTGGCATCTCTGTTGCTGTCCTTGTCTAGCAATAAGAACCAGATATAAAATGCACAGCCAGCACAGGTAGGAATATCAAGCTCCCTAGAAACATTCTTCAACTGTCAGCCGCTGAAATGTCAGTCATGTCCCACCCTCAGCCTCCCTCAGGGATATGGCAGAAGGCTGGAGATATCTACCATTTCCTGCTATAACTAAATAAGGCAACTCTGCCTGTGAAATTTTGCTTGCAAACTTGGGCAATCTTTGACCCTCCTGCTAGGAGCCCTAGCACTATGGGTACACTTCCTGTCTTAAATTCAAAACAACTTGGCCACTCTCACTCAACGCAAATCAATGCAGAATTTGTGTGGGCTTATAGCTAAATTAAAAATGTGTTTCGCAGTATTTGTCGGGCAGCGAATTCACCTGTCTGAATGACTACACCAGCCCTTTTATACCCTTTGGCCTTTTAAAGTGCATCCTCGCTAAACAGCCGAATAACTGCGCATCGCGAAAGGTTATCAGAAATTTTGATTTGTAAACAAATATTCGCGTCAAAATATACCGAAGCATCTCCAGTTTTAAAGCAGTGTAATATCGTCAGCTTACCTCGTAATTTTTCTCTATTCTTCGCGTAGGAAAGCGCTTTAGTTTATACAAAATCCCCTGAACACCCTGAGTTGGTCTGGAATCTTTCGTCCTGAAATATGAAAGCGGAAATAACTTCTGGGATGGTTCCTCAGTCCCAGCTTTCCACGGTATGGCTAAGCCGAGGCTAAGCCTCAGGCCACTTGAAATTGGCGTTGTAGCCTCTTTTCTTCGGAAAACAAGTGGTTAAATAATGTTCATTTTAATTCATTAAATTTCTAAACTAATCACTCTCTCCCATAGTGCCATTTACAAGAGTTTGTCATAAGCAGGGATGGCGGCGACATTTTTTTTCCCGGTTTCCGGTGTACGGGTAGGCGGAGGGCGCCATGTTTGACCATATCTGGTAATGACATAGCCGTTTCCTCGGGGTTTCTCTGGAAGCCAGTCACAATTGTGACCAGTAATTTTAGTTAGTGTTTATACGTTTAGAGATAGCTTATCTCTCAAATCATACTAGTAAAATGATTGTTTGGGGTGCGTGTCCATTTCAGGCATGCCCTAATTCGCAGAAAATGACGGTCGGATTGTACGTAGGGCTGAGGTTTTCCTCCACATCATTCGTTTGTTTGCCTTATAAGTAATGCAATATACACATTGTAGCACATCATTTCTGTAAACCAAAGCGTCTCTTCATTCCACATTTTGTATTGTGTAACAACTTACTTCAATTTTGGCAAATAAAACGCGTGTAAATAAAACACTGTTGGTATCATATTTCAGAACTGATCCTCACGAAATGGTTATAAAAGCCGATCCTTGACTATTTCAACCGAGATTCCCATACTAACTCCTCCATACTAACTCCTGATCTTGAAAAAGTAACAACAGGGTGACTGTAACAACTGTTCAAGTGTATTCCTAACAGTGCAAGTACAATGGAGGTGCAAGCCAGTCTACTACTGAAACAGTTTCCGACAATCTCAGTGACAATCCCTCAGAGTGTCTCACTTCGTAGTGCTACCCAGTTCAATCAGTTCAAGCCGATATAAATGTTGGCTAGCGAGGTACTGGCTTGCGAAAGTATAGACTCCTTTCGTTGTACGGGACAACCCGAGCCGATCATTCAGGCCGATAAATCACTGGATAACTCTTAGCTTGCGAAAGCATACCAGTCCTGTGCAACCTGCACCACAGGCTAACCACCCTATGTGTTCGTGGTTAATAATTGTTTATATATAATTGTTTACATAAGAGCCTTCGTCGGATATTAAAGATCTACTGGCCAATGCGGATAACAAACGAGGAGATTAGAGCAAGAGCAGGAATAGAGACAATAAGCAAGCAAGTGGCAAGGAGGAGATGGACGTGGCTGGGTCACGTCCTCAGAATGGATCACCACTCACATCCACGAATTGCCCTCACATGGGTACCTGAAGGCAAACGGAAACGGGGTCGATCGCGCGAGACTTGGAGAAGGACTGTCGAAAGGGAGCTGGAAAAGGAAGGTTTAAGAACATGGGCAGCAGCAGCATCGGCTGCACAGGACAGAACAGCCTGGTGGCAGAGAGCTTACGGCCCAATTCTCCACTTGGAGAACGGATAAATAATGATGATGATGAAGGTCCATTTCTCTTGGATATGCGTACACTGTGGAGGTGTAGTGGCATATAGTTATTGTAGCAAATATTATATCGCTTAGGGAATGTTGAGTGTTATTATGGATTGCAGTGCTTTAATAATTGTTTTCAATTTACAATTCTGTATTGAGTTTACCCTGACTACGCTCTATGCTTTATGCTATCTTCTCTTCCATCTACAGTCAACACGCTATGCTCTTAAAGCTCTTACACTCCATGTTCCACCATTTACGCTCTATGCTCTACATATTTACGAGTTTATCAGTTCAAGAATTTTTTACTACTCTCTATACTAACTTAGAGGCTTAAAAAAACAGCAGAGTGATAAAAAATATTGGGTTGTGAGTGCAAGTTTCTCAATCATCTGCGATGCTGTAATATTTGTAATTGTAATTTATTGGCTTTCTTTATTATCTCATATATAGTGTTATTATGGTTTACAGTATTTTAATAATCTCCTTAATGTACAATTCTGTATTGAGCTTACCCTCTACGCTCTATGCTCTACGCTATATGTTCTACCATCAACATTCTATTTACGTTCTACCAGCTACTCTCTTCAATCTACGTTCTACGATCTACCGTCTAAGCCAATCTATGCTCTGTGTTCTACCAGCTACTCTCTTTAATCTACGCTCTGTGCTCTACAATCTACTATCTACCCTCTAAGCCCATTAATTTTTTAACAAAGACTAGTGAGCAGCACAAAGGAGGACTTCTTGTAGTTGTAAGCTTTTTCGTTTATTTCTGACGCGTTTCATCTGTCTCAGACTTCTTCAGGGAATAATTGCAACTAACATTGAGCAGCATATATAGCACTTAAGCATGCCAAAGTGAATAATTACTGAAAAATGCTGTAAATGGACATTACAAGAAATGCCTTAATGCATATGTTATTGCATGTTGTTATATTTTGGGGGCCATATGATTAGCGCTAATCGTATGGCCCCAAAACAACATACTATTTACATAGATGTGCTAAAGTAGTAGTAGATTTATAACTGACAACACAGTCTAAGTCTGGTAAATGTATCTGGATAACCAGCTTGATGTTAGTGGTTCTGAGTTAAACCATTTATTTGAACTTGAAATAAACAGCAATCTCTACAATGAATTACAACGCTAAAAACTAGTAAACAACATCTCCATGTGATCGTAAAACATCCACTAAGTGTTCAAAGTCACGTGACCTAAGTATTTGCACTTTGAGTGCACTATAACAAAATGTCCTTCACATCATACTCCCCCTTCTTGATGGGCCAGTGGCTCATCAACCTATCAATAGGAGTTTTGTGTTTCTAGCTTAAAGGTTCACTATAGTTCTAGTTCTCTTAAAGTTCGCTTCTGTTCTATTCTTCTGTCATATTCTGTAAGGAGTTTTAATGGGCAGATTCTGGTGATCGGTCTCAACAATTCCTTTTGGCCAACTCTGACTTTGACAGCTCTCACTTGCTTGTCCTTCCCTGGAAAGACCACTATGATTCTACCGAGCAGCCACTGCCCACAAGGCGTGTTAAGTGCCACTACTAAGACTACATCATTAACTTGGACATCCTTTTGTTCCTTCCACCACTTGGACACATGATTCAAAGTTGGTAGCCACTCTCGGAGCCACTAGTACGAAAAAGGTCGCACTAGTTCTTGCACCCATCTCCATCTCTTCTTGGGGCTGAACTGGCCACTATCAACTGATCCAGGAGCGAACTGGCCTCCTACTTGTCCAATCAGGAAATGATTTAGGGTGATGGGTGTGTCATCTGAGGGATTCGCGACTGATATGTTAAAGGCCTGGAATTTATGAGTGCCTCTGCACACACAAATGCTGTAATCAGTTCTTCATTGGGCACATCTGCAGTTCCCAATATCACATAGGTTGCTCTCTTCCCTGACTTGATCATTGTCTCATGCACCCCACCAAAGTGAGGTGCCCGTGGTGGATTGAAAATCCACTTGATTCCTTTGTTGGCAGCTGATTTCTCAATCTTGTCTCGATCCAGTTCTTTGACGAGCCCCCTCAACTTTCTTTCCGTGCCTACAAAATTAGTTCCGTTATCAGAAATCATCTCTTCTGGCACCCCACTCCGATTGGCCATGCAATGAAATGCACTCAGAAAGGAATCTATGTCCAGCCCATAGGCCATCTCTAGGTGAATAGCCCTCAATGTTAGGCATGTAAATAAACAAAGGTATCTTTAAGCTCTCTTCTTGCCCCTCCCCTGGATAGTTACAAATGGTCCTGCAAAGTCAACCACTGTTCGTGCGAAAGCTCATAAGGCCATCTTTAGTCAAATCTTTGGTTGGGGAGCCATTATCTGTTCAGCAGCCTTTGCCTTTCTCTTGTGACATTCACAGCACTCTCTTTCCCAGTCAGGAATCTCCTCTCTACCTTGCATGATCCAAAATCTGGCGGACAGCAAAGACAACGTGTGATTGTTTTCCGCTGCATGGTTACTTCTTTCGTGATAGGACTTCACAATTAGTCTGGTCACCCCACTCTTCCTCGGCAGAATGACTGGATATCTAGAATCAAAAGGCAGGTAGTCTGCATAGCAGTCTCCCATCTGATTGAAGCAGACCATCTTCATCTAGGATGGGGTTCAAAACTTAACAACTTGCTGTTTTGCAGAACAGACTTGAAATTGGCCAGTGCCTTGTATTCTTCTTGAAAGGCTTCTTATTGTGCCTCTTTGCTGATGTCAGTCTCTGCATCTGAGATCTCCTGAATGGTACGTTTTCCAGAACTCCTCTCTTCTGGTGGCGTTCCACAGTTGTTCATGAATCAGTGTACCCATGCTCTAGCTCTCAATAATCTGGTCCAGCTTGAATATCTGCTGGGGTGTAAACACCAAGTCACTTGTGGGGTCAGCACGAACAGTACTGATTTTTTGTCTGGCACATCAAATGTTGTCCTCACTTTCTTACGGACTTCTAGTGTTGCTTCAGCAGTTACATCAATCTCTGTTTTTGGCCATGTGTCTTCTGGCATGCTCAGGAACTTCAGACCCTTCCACCACATCTTGTTTCCTTTTAGCTCAGTCGCAGACATTCCTCTTGTTGGCAGGTCAGCAGGGTTCTGGTCTGTGCTAACATGGCACCACTGCGTAGGACTGCTTGAATCATGTATTTCTCCTATCCGATTTGCTACAAGTGGTCTGAAACTGCAACTGGGTATTTGTATCCACCACAATACATGCATGCTGTCACTCCAGAATGTGAGTAGGTTCTGGTCAATCTTAAGAACCTTGGCTATGGACAGCGCTAATCTTAATTCCAAAACAGCTCCCATAAGTTTGAGTCTTGGAATGCTTGTAGCTGATAGTGGTACCACTCGTGTCTTGGAGGTCACTAGGTTGGTAGATACTGTACCACCCTTGTACTTGTAATTAATGTAAGTTGCTGCACCATACGCATCCCCTGATGCATCTGTGAAGGTGTGCAAGGTAACTGTTTCAACATCTGAGTTCAACTGCAGACAATGAGGGGCTTGCACTTCTGACAACTCTGTGAGCTCTTCAAACCACTTCTTGGCCTCTCTAGCTTGGCTTTGGTCTAGTGGGTCATCCCAATCTAATCCTGAGGTCCACATCTCTTGCAGGAGAATCTTTGCCCGGATCACGTATGGCTCCAGAAACCCCATAGGGTCAAACAGCATGGCTATCTTATGTAGGAAATTTCGCTTGGTCAACTGGAACTTCTCATCTGGCAGATTCACTCTGTAAGTGAAAACATCTTCCTCAGCCTACCACAACACACCAAGCGTCTTCATTGACAGCAAATTTTCTTCGTTTAAAGGAGAACCGAAGGCGAAAACCCATTTTTTAAAAAATTGTTCTTATGAAAGCACATGATAGTTTTGAAGCATCAGTAGTGATTTCTATGTCAGGGTTTGAGATATCAATGTGTTTGTATGTATGTGGTAGGTTGCTTACCCACCAACTAAGATCTTGCCTCGATTCTGGAGATAGTATCATCAGTGCTTCATAGCTGCCTTTGTTTTTATGCAAGGCTTCATTTTTAACTTGGAAAATATTCGTATTTTCCAAGTTGTAGTGGTGGGACAATTTCACTCCATCACTGCTTCACCCTTTCATTCCTTCACTGGGTCACTTCCTGTTAGACATTTGGAAGCCCGGGGAGGAGAACTCCCATATGAGAAGGCCAGGGATGCTCATTGGAAAATTTGAATTTAAGGTGGCTTACTACAGTTTTTTGGAGACTAGTAGCACGTGTTATGATTGCTTGCCAGATGTCAGTATTAATTGCACGTGCACAAATGACGCAAGCAACCCTAAAATGAAACCAAAACCACTTCAGCACTTGAAAGGTGTTAAATCACTTCAATATATGTAGCAATAGTTTCAAACTCTGTTCAAACATGTGTTTAAGACTAGGGCCAAAAAGATATGACACAAAAACTTGATAAACAACCGGTAAAGGAGCTCTAAATTAATCTTGCTTTCTCGCATGCGATACATGGCATCACATGAGCACGTACTTAAATAAAGGGCGTGTGCAATTCAATTCTCATCCAAGGTTGTAAAAGCCAGTCTTTCATTCAGGATTGTTCGAAAACCTACCGTACATCCCATGATAAAATTTTCACAGTCGATTGGTAGGGGTAAATCACATTTAAAGCCAAAATTTACAAAAAAAATCTGTGACAGATTTTGAGCTATTTTTGATTTCACATTTTCTTAGTCTGTCCTACAGATTTTTATTTTACTTTGCATGAATGTTAAAGCAGAGCTAATTTGTTACTCCTGAAATTTTGAGGTGGGGTCATATGGGTAGATTTTGAGAAAAATGTGATCTAACCCACTAGTGCCTAGTCCCTCCCTAGGCACTCGGTGGTTCATTTTGGCCATTTGTTGACGTTCAATTGTTCAAGTCTCACATAGAATGGTAAAAGACCTAACTAAACAATAAAAACTGAAAGGAAAAAACGTCTTGGAACATTTTTAAAGAGTTAAAAGTTGGGCTGTTATAATCCACCAAAACCGTAGTAACCACCTTAACCCCTACAGGAGACTAATGTGGGCATTGCTTGAGCTTCATAAGACCCCTTAAGACCCCTGAGGATGTGAACTAACTTTTTAACTTGATTGTAACGGCAAATAGCTCCATCCCTGAACAATTTGAACATCCGCCATTTTGGAAGCCATGTTGAAGGCTTGGGCGCATAGCATGACGTCACTGTGCACAGGCGAAAAACACGCGAATTTCAAGTACTACGTTTTCACTGAGATTGTTGTCAAATCAAATTATGTATGGCACTGTAGAGCTTGATATGTTACGTTTGTGCATAATTGAATCTTATGTTGGAGGATTAACTGAGCTCAACAAAACATTCGAAATAAATCTCACAGCTGGCAAATTATGTGACCATTTGTGTACATAAGCTTACATGTTATTTAATTCTCTTGGTGCTCTCATTCTGCGCACCTGACACAAACCCACAATAGCGATCTCTAGGACTTCCCTTTTTAAACAAATCGTTTGAAAGAGAGAGAGCTGTGTTATACATCTAGAAGTCGTTTGAGCTGCCTGTATGTATGAACCCCCAAAATATAAACAGGTTATATTGCAACCATTTCGCTGCCATGTGAGCCTGCCATGTGTGCCATGACAAAATATGTAATAAATGAAATAAATCAAACAACACTTTTTTCCCACCGAGTCCATGGTTGTTTATTAGCTGCCTAGTGCCAAAATAACCAACATCTGCTGAATACAAAAGTATCCTTCACCTGAAACTGTATTTTATTTATGGCTTCCTTGTTGCACTTCCCAGTTGGCACAACACTCGCATACACACCACAATGTATTTCCTCTTCAGTGCTCATCTTGACTCTCATGAACATTGTCTTCCTCTGACTCTGAACTGCCTCGCATAGGTTCAAAAGAATAAGGCTCAATCTCAGCCATCGTGCAAGCTAAATGCAGGTTCAAATCAACATCGATTCTTCAAATTTTGTTGACATGAAAAAATGCCTGTGCGTAGTGACGTCAAAACATGGCAGCGGGTATTCCTTTTATGGAAGTAACCGGAAGGAAAGATGTCCAAAATGGTGGACATTCAATTTTGAAAAATGACCACGGGTTTTGGACTCTTTTCGTCACATTCGAAAGGTAAAATTCACTTTTTCTTGCTTTTTACTACAAATCTAAGCTATTTCAATAGCTTTAAGCTCCCATATAAAATACAACTGCTAGCCTNCCTCAAACTTGACCATTTTGATATTTTCGACATGCTTTTTCCATTTCTGGCATTCGTTAAGTTATAGCCCATAATTTTATGAAAAGTAGGTCACGTGACTTAGCTGCAAGGGGCCTATTCTCCACTTGGAGAACGGATAAATGATGAATGATGATATGAAACGAACAGAATCTATGAAGGTTATGAATAAAGCTCTAAAAATTGCATATCTAAATTACTTCTCGGTCTGAATATCCCAATAAAGTTAAATGAAACGTTTATCGACTCATGTGTGGTGTTTTTTCCCCTTCCTGGGCCGTTTGAAGTATTTTTTTTTACGAAATTACTCGGTATCCAACCAAAAGTAATTATGTAAGTAATGCTAGCAGGCAATACTGCATCTCAAAACAAGCTATGAAAGAAAAAAACTACCTTAGCAACTGAAAGTTGGGAAAATAAAAATGAAGTCTCTCGAAACCAATGTATAAATGGTACACAAAATCGAAGCCAACAGGAGGCAGAAAATCCACTCGAACAAGCCAGGTAGTACCCAGTCTTCTCATCTGTAGGCTCTACAATAGTGCCCAGTCATCTTAGTAGAATTCCTTTCGATCACGTGACTCTCGTAAAACATACAAACGTTATTTTTTAGCTGCCAACTTAATGTGAGCTTCGCCCACACAAAAATGAATTAGCGAGTAAGTATATTTGCGCCTTCTAAGTTGTGTTTAATGCTAAATGAAGTGTAGTTTACATGAAACATTCAACAAAAACGAGGTCTCTCGAAGTAAAAGAAGATCATTAATGTCGGGAAACACGTTCATCGTCAAAAATCTTTTAGATGACAAAATTAAACTACTCCCTTTGTTAAACTTAACATTCTCCAAAAACAAAAGTAGAAAAGGCGTTAACCAAAACCTTATCTTAAATGTTAAATGTACTCGTTTGAACACTGAATTGAGCGAACATAGGTTTATTACTGCACTGCTATCACCGGCGTCATTTCTGGGAAGAAAAAGCAGCATATTTGGGATCGATAAACCACAGAGAAAAGAAGAAACAAACTAGGATTAAACTAACCTTGCGTTGGAGGCCGCTATTCATATTATCAACGAGAAGGCTTGGTTCTAGTCCATCTCTGTTAAGCGCGGGTAACTTAATTCGATATTTACCTGTACCCGTGCACCGGATGCGGGGTATCTCAAGGGTCTCTAATAAACTTTGGCCATGTCTCACCAAAGTAAGAGATAAGAATATTTGTATTTACTGCAAATAGCAATTTTTCCCTAAGAAAAAAAATCAGAGGCAATTTATGACTTTTGCCGTAAACGTCATCATCAAAGTTTCTGTCAGGGCTTTCCTGTTCTCAGCCGTCATAGGCATAATTAGCCAATGAAAACTCTTGAATTGCATTTTCCAATGATCCAGACAGATATTGTGATATAGTCGATAGTCTTTTGTTCAACTGTTTAACATCACGGAGGGTTGGTGCTCTGATTGCAACTAGGCTAAAATTTGGAATCTTTACTTGTACTTCATTACTCACGTCCTAACACCGCCATCTCGCTTAAGGTTCACTTTTTCTATGGTTACTGAAAACTGAAAACACGAATTTACTTGTTTCACAATGAGTCTGCTTGCGAAACCATTCATATATGAAAATGTGATCCGCCTATGGGCTTTTTATAGGATTTTTACGCAAATCAAATTCATTTTCATAAGAAAGGTTGTGAAAAGACTGGCACAAAGTAACTCGGAAATGACCTTTTTGTTGTATTTTGCACTGAGACATATTTTTCTGGCAAATTAAATTTTTTCGTGGATAAATAAATTTGTATTTCAACTGCTGACTCCAAAATACCCCTAAAAAAGCTATGGAAACGTATTAAACCTCTCTTCAACTTCAATCCTCTTCCAGATTATTCTTGTTGTCCACAGTTGCTGGACGCATGTCCTGATTTCACTCTAGCCTGGTTACCTGGTATGATTACATGGTCTAGTTGCACTGTCGTGGTAGTGACGTGCGACTTTCGATGTTTCCAGGAGCTATGCCCACGGCTGTATTTTACCCCTGGTAGGTTCAACCACACCGGTCGGATCGGTCAAGGGGTGAGAGGTTTAAAAAAGGCAGCCTCAGGTCTGGTTAAGCACCACACCCTTTTTGGAGACGCTGACAACAATTCCCAATTGACAAAATCCAGTTTTCAAATATAATTTTATTTATAGTTCTTGATCGCAAAAGTAGTCAACGTTCAAGAGGGCGCGACTCCTCTTTTTCAAGTCCAGAGTGCATGTCTGTTCCCCTCATCACTTCGTTCTCCAGGATTCCTTCTCCGTACCAAGGAACGGTTACCGGGATGCATCTTTGTTTCTTCTCGCCACTTCACTGTAAAGAGAGAGATACGAGGACATAGGGAACATCTATAGACAGACATTTGATCTTCCTTTGCTCCGTTGTGTTAGACTTCAGTGACAATGTGTTGTGATAACCTGATGTCATTCGATGCTTTTGTGTTGGAGGACTTCCTTCCACAAGAACAAGCTCCACACTTGTAGAGAACCACAGCTACGCAAAGTGTTACCAAGGCGACAAATGCAACGCTTCCTATCACAACAATCTCTGCCCCTGTCAGACCTGAAAGAACCACAAACATTCAGTAGCAGTATGAGTTAACACAAGTAAAAACTATAAGAACAAATATTTATAAACACTATTATCTTAGTAACTGTCAAGAGAGGATCAAGGGAAGAGAGTTAATCCCTTACAGACCTTACTCCTAAGCTTATCCCTTGCAAGCTATTTTTAGATCACTCCCGGTTTTGGAAGTTCCGGAAGGGTCTGGAAATAGCCAATCGTGTGACGCCAATTACGTCACGTGGACAGCCCATGCGGCTTAAGGCCACGTCCACACTACGCCGGAGGAATTTGAAAACGCAGCTATTTATCTACGGTTAAGCTTACCGTCCACACTAATCCGTCACCAAAACGGAGCTTTTCGAAAACGCTCTTCAAACCGGAGGAATTTGAAAACGACGGCTTTGCGATTTCGTGTAGACGGAAAATCTTTTGATAATAATGAGATTTCCCCGCCCGAGTTTTCTTCAACCACAAATCCAAAATGGCCGGTTGCGTTTTCAAATTCCTCCGGCGTAGTTTGGACGTAAAAAATTTGATGCATTTTCAGAGTAAAACCTCCATTTTCAAATTCCGACGGCATAGTGAAGACGGGGCGTCAGTCAAAGCAAGAGATACGACTGATGTTAGACACCTAAATTGTCATTCTTATAACGTACTACTACCTAGATACACGAAGTGTCTGTGATTGAGCGCTTTGAGTGTTGGAAGAAAGGGTTAACGCGATGGTCACGCGAGTCACGCAATGGGTTTGTATTAAAGATACGATCGGCCGGGGAATGTCTTTACTGGCAGGGAAAAAAAGACAAACAACAAAAGAAAAATCCAGACCTTCATGGCGACTTCCATTAGGTTTCGCAGTAACAGCATTGGCCGTAGTTACTCCTGATAATTAGAAAAACAAAACTACGTAAGAATACTAAAAGCAAAAGGCGTCCAAGCCTTAAAAGTGTATATAGTATATAAAGCGATTAAAGTATATAGAGGCTCCTTCTTGGTATGGAAGACATACAATAGGACAAGTCAAAATAACACACCGTCTCACAGAACATATTGGTTTCATTGTTTTTCTCGTTGTTTTGTCTTTTTGTTCTTTATTGTTTTACGTCAACTGTGTCTTCCACACCAAGAACTGATATAGATGCGATACAATACTAATACTTAAATTAAAAACAACAACAACAACAACAACAACAACAACAGGTACGTGTAGACATGAACAGTAACAGGAGCTCTGTTAGTCATAATGGGGAAGTAACTGGATTGACATTTAAAGTTGTGATCAAACTCTTACTCGCCCTCGTACTACTGCTATCTTAAGGTATCTAAGAGTATTTTCAGTCTTAATCAGTCTCTTAGTTAAGCCAAGAGACGAGGATCATCATGGTCTCTTGGTTAAGCTAACTCACTGCGAATGAAAGGTCTTGACACATGAGGGTTGCTGTCCAATGGATCACTATCTGTTCCGTGAAGAACAAGCGTCCAGTTGTACAAAGTACCTACAGCAAGTTAAGAATTCAAAATACATGTGTTATTATCTACTTCTTCATAAATTTACGTTTCTCTAGACTTGAGAGCAATCCTATCAAACGTTACCTGCAGGCAAAGTCCCTTCGATCACCATAGAAAATTCGCAAACCGGGGCGGATCCAGGATTTTTCTTAGGACGGGGTGCACCACTAATGGCGTAACTGACTGGGATGAGGTAAGCAAATTTTAAAAGCAATTACGGAAAAGATGGCTTAATCTCAGGGAGGGGGGGGGGCATACACCCTGCACCCTCCCCCTCGATCCGTCCCAGCAACCGAAGTTTGAAGGCTACTCTGCTCGCAGGGCATATAAAATTGAACCGACTTTAATCACAATCACAATCACAATCACAATACATTATTCAAGAGAGACAAATAATGTTTAAAAAAAATACCTCTTGAAATGGAAATCATGAGGTTAGCCCTATACGTGACAATTCCCATAAATAAAAAGCGTAATTACTAGTAAGGATTGTTTGATTTAAGGATTTAAGGATTGTTTGAAACA